GGCAAAAAGAGCTACTGTTTTGTGAGTATCTGATATTCAACGTAGACAGTAGCAGTAGCAGTAGCAGTAGCAGTAGCAGTAGCAGTAGCAGTAGCGGTAGCAGTAGCAGTAGCGGTAGCAGTAGCGGTAGCGGTAGCGGTAGTAAATTAAAATTAATCAAACATTAATTTTTATGCAGTCTCTTACAGAATAACCTTATAAGAAGAATCAGAAATACAACTTTTGGACGTTTATATAGTACAGCAATGCTGTAAGTCAGGATGCTAAAACTAATAAAGTAAACAATTCTATAGTTATATCTTTGAAATTTGGTGCATATTTAAACAACGTATGCTTTCCTTGATAGCGGTATTTTTCAAGGGCCTGATAAGGACCATGACATAATGATGATGATGATGATGATGATGATGATGATGATGATGATGATGATGATTGTTATTATTATTACTATTTTGCCTGCCTGGCTTCATTACTGGGTTCTATTGCTTGTCCATATGAAGGACCTACGACAGGTCAAAGTCAGTGGTGATGCGGGGAAAAATCGACTATTCGCGGGTCTCCTAATTCTGAATCATGCGCTTGCTTTAGATGGCTTTCTTCTAACCCTTTGGAGATCATCGAAGATGGAGCATTCATATCGATGTCCTATCTTCGATATATGTAAGAAGTCTTAACAAATACACTTATTTCAATAAACGTTGTTCCAAGATCGCAAGGCCCAATTATGGGCATGCATTATTTATTTATTCATAACGACTTTATTTGCAAAAAGATGACAAAAAAAGGCAAAAAGGATGTTGACAGGGAGGAACTAAATCCCCATATGTGAAGTCAACCCCCACTAAGTCAGGTTAATAAATTAAGGAAAGATAACGATAGATCGATTACCACGGCCCCTGCACAACCACTCATTCAAGTTAATTGGTGACATTGGTCTGTAGCAAATGTTGTGGGGTCTGGGCTGTAGTGCTCTCATTGGCTAGATAAATAGCCTTGATTTTTCACAATTCAGAAATTGTCGGCGCTTTTCGTGCAGCCTCCCTTTCCGTTTTGACTAGCCAGCGTAGCGGCTCCCGAGAGCCGCTACGCTGGCTAGTTTTGACATACACTAACAGTCTATCTGATTCACATTTTTAGGATCGAATTTTAGCATTTTTCTTGATTTTGTTTAAACTTAGAGCCTCTTCAATATTAGGTTTAGCAATAATATTCGTGCCATCATTATAACATATATACTATTATTCTTATTGTTATTGTTCTTTATAAGAATCGTCATTCATTATTTTTGTTATCAGAAATCTGGCTGATACTAAGTTGCAGAGGATTGTCCCTGCCACCCTGATGAACCAAAATAAACAAATCATTCTACAGGTGTAAGTTACTCAATCAATTTTTAAAACTTTATCCTCGTAATCCTTTGAAATATTAGTTTATTTATATAACAATACAGACGTGTCATCGTTAATCACCAGTGAGGTAGCTCAAAATATGTTAACTGACATATTAAAGACACCTTTGACAGTCGCTATACAGTCTATGTATGACCCTGGAGCACAGCTCTAACTAGTTTGAATTAGTTAGGATTGATTTGCGAACCCGTGCGCCAGTTCTTCTTAGATTATGAATAAGTTGCTGGGTAGCATTGGTGGCGTACGCTGCAAACACGTCGTCTTTCACCCGAGTCCAACGGGTCGGGTCGCTGATTCGAGTCCTGCGGTCGCCACATGTAATTTGAGTTTCTTTCATGTATTGTTCTCTCCTATGCTACGAGGGTATTGTCAGGGTTCTCCGGTTTCCTCCCTACGTAAAAATCAGCATGTGAGTTAAGCGTTGTGTGCATATAATATTAAATGTAGTGGTAGTGTGTGCAAATTAATAGTGTCCCCAATTAGTAGGAAAGTGCTAGAATGACTAGACACTTTAATAAAGAGATGTGTTTTAAAGAAGAATAAAGATATAAACCTATAAACAGCCCTGACCATTCGTAGGAAATAGTTATACTGTTGACCCTGGGACTCGCAGTAACAAAGGTAATTTGTTTGTAATTATTCTTTTCACAGTTTTCGAAATCTCGCATCGGAAACAACTGCATTTCTTTGTGATAGATGTAAAGGATTTTATAGCGAAAGAGGATACATTGTTGAAAGAAATCCACATGGCCAATTTGAATGTTTTCCGTGTCCATACGGAACTTTCAAACAGGGAGGCTTTTGCAATACATGTCCAGCAGGTAGGATGTCCTCTTGATATCTGAATCACTTATAACTCAATATCTGAATAGGATTTGATAGGATTTCCAGGCTTTTTAATTTACAACCTTTATTGGGTATCAATAAAATAAGTCATAAGTTTGAAGCAAAATTTAAAAATTTTTTAGGCCAATCATTTCAAAATTTGAGTATTATTTATTCATTAATTAGAGCGTAACTTGAACTACAAAAAATCTGTTCCTGCTGTCGAGTTACGCGCCTATAGCGTTATTCGAACTCACACAACTTTCTTAATGACATCGAATTGCAATAAAGTATGTATGTGGTTACGCGCACTGCGTGACAACGTCAAATTTGGGTGTGGTCGAGTGCGTAACTCGAAAAGCGCGTAACTCGAAGCGCACAACTCGAAGCGAGTAACTCCATAAATACCCGTCCTTCTCATAACTCAATATCTGAATCCGCCTTTAGTATATGAGAAGCGTCTTTGCATAAAGGACCGTCCTTCGTAGATGGCATCATCTACCAAAATATCATGATGATCATGAATACCCATTAAAAGAATAAAATCAAACTTTGCTTGTAATAAAAAAACGTACCTTTTAAAACTTTGATCATCATCATCATCATCGTGATGAACATCATCATAGAACGTTCTCTTTACGATACATCAAGCCACATTCCATCTCCTTCGAATAAAGCATTTTTTCACTTTCCACTAGTTATATATCGTAGTTCCTGTCCAGGAAAACTCGTGGTCATTTGAACCACGTTTCGCCATGGTCGATGTTTCAGAAACTAGGATAGTGATATTTTCCCGAAAAGGGTCAGGATATTGTTGTTATCCTCCTGTCATTTTCGAGTACGAAATGATATTGCCAATCTTTAAAAGTTACTATACCTATATTTAGATCCAACGACGAGTACGAGAACAAGTTCGAAGACGAGTTTTTTTAAAATTGGTCTCGTGCGCGTAGTTAACACTGAATCGTGATCGATTTTCGATTTTTTACAATCCGAAGTTTCACGACCACGATAACGAGGAAATGATATTTCCAATCTTTAAAAGTTTAAAATGTAAAGGTCTCACAATGACACATGCCAGCAATGTTCAAAACTATTGGCGGTCCCAATAGCCCAGTATGCTGCGCCTATTCCTAAAACTTTTTTCCTTTTAAAACAAGGTGGTTTCTATCAAGATGAGCAGGCACAATACAAAATACTTTCTCATGGTATAGGATGTAAACAGTGTCCAGACGGAACTTTTGTGAGTCTGCAAAGTTCACCAGGAGTACAAAAAGCCGACTGTCAGAAATGTCCAGAAGGTATTAAATATTATATATGCACAAGTGTCATGGAAACTGCACACTCCCTTTCATAAAATGTTTGACAAAACATATTCCTTTCTCATTGACATTTGAACACATTCGTATTACAGGAACCAGTCCTGATCACCCAGCTTTGTTCAGAGCCTGTTTTTGCCGTGACGACCATTACCGTGTACATCGCTTTGCGGCCTGTTTCCCATGTACACGAGGATACAAATGTACAAACGAGACCATCAACCTGTTACCTGGTTTCTATTGGAAGTGGAATTCTACAGAAACCAAACACATGTACCTGAACTTTTCTGCCGAGTTACAAGTCACTAGCCAATCATATAACAAAAATCTGGCTCACTATACTCAAGGTCTTCCTAAAGCCTACGCATGTCCTACTGCATCGGCGTGCAAAGGTGGTATAGACTCGGAATGCTCTGTTGGTTACGAGGGTCCCATGTGTGCAATGTGCAGTAGACATTTTTACATGCTCGCATCGATATGCCGCAAATGCCCCACCCCACCCTGGATAGTAACCCAGATCATACTTGTCATTGTGATTGTAGTGGGTCTGATTGTCTTGCTGATAAGAGACAAAAAGAAAAAGTCAAGTGGGAGATCTCTCTCTGATATCATGACAGCCAGACTTAAGATCCTGATTGGATTCTACCAAGTCACTTCAGGAACAATCTCCAGTTTCTCGTACGTCCATTGGCCTTATGCCATGATCAAGCTGGTCAGGTATGCAGAGGTATTCCAGATGAATCTTCTACAAGCAGCTCCACTTCATTGCATATCAGACTCCCTCAAGACTAATGTTCACGTCAAACTGCTTGCTGCAGTACTATTTAATGTTGTTGCTATAATGGCTGGAATCGTATATTATCATATCAGGGTCAGACAAATCCCTAGCAAGAGGAGGTCTCTTCTTCAACAGCGTTGTTACCGCACGGTCTTCCTGATCTTATTCATTTCGTTCCCCATGACATGCAGCTACATTTTCCAGGCTCTCCCCGAGACTTGCCAGGAAGTCTGCACCTCGACAGATGAGAAGTTCTGCAAGTCGTACTTGAAATCTGACTACTCTGTAGAATGTGGAAGCAAAACTTTCAAGGTCAAAAGCCTCTTCTTTTATGTCCTTGTCGTCTATCCTGCTGGATTTCCATCGCTCATCTTCTACCTGCTTTGGAAATATCGCTACAAAGGAGGACAGCATGCTTCCCGCGAGGAAAGAGTGCATACAAAGCATGATGGTATCGTGGAAGGGTTGAAATTCGTGTACGAGAACTACGCCAGTAATGTGTGGTTTTGGGAAATCATCGAACTGGTGCGCAAAGTTCTTCTGACGTCCGTCATTCTGCTGGCTCATGCTGAAAGTCGTACATACCTTGGTGTAACAGCCATAATATCAGGAATATATGCCGTGCTGTTTGCTTACTACAAGCCAATCACAGACACCTTTGAACACTGGCTACAGTTGACGTCACTATTGGCTACCATGGTGAACATGATCGTTGGGATGCTACTGAAGATCCCTAGTGACAGCCTGTCTTCAAGTGTTAATACCCACGTTGATGAAGCTTTTGTAACAGCGGTGCTGATGATTGCTAATGTTGCTGTCATCGCCATCATGGCTGGTTAGTAGAATAGAATGTGCATTCTTAGTTGTACGCTATTGTACGATCCTTGAATCGAACATAGTGTCTTGTTACATGACATGAGGCTTCTCAGTGATGTATAACAGTTGTCGGGGATTAGCCATCCCCACATTTCTAAATTCTGATCTGTTCTATTTGTTTCATGTTTTTGTTCCACAGTCAATTATATGGTAACGTTAGTACAGACTGTGCAGGTCATCAGGAAGAACCCACAATGTTCTATCTCGTGCTGTTTGTACCTCTTCCTGACCATAAACCAAGCAGGGAGTGACGTTTCTGGGATAGAAGGTAATAATGACCTGAAGAATTACCAAGACATGAACGTTGGTGTTGAACAACCAGAACTGGAAATGAGCCCCGGGGGATTTGACATTGAGCTTGAAGACGAAGAAGAACAAGAAGAAGAAAAAGAAGGCGAGATTGATCGTCAAGTAACTACGGCCTAAAGCTAGAAGACCATGTATGAATTCCAAGCCAAATAGTGACAGCTATTTATCATATATTATCGCTTTGCTTATCATTCTATTGTTTGTTTGTTTTAAGGTAAAAGCAGGGTGCGGATCTCGGTCATTTATTACAAATTTGTAAAAACGACTTTTTAAAATCTCAACTGCCGATTATTTAAGGACTACAAATTTGTTAACATTAATTTCTAGATAATGTTTTCACAAGTTGGAAAAACTTTTCCCTCTTTTCTTCCTATAACGCAAACGGATATTAACTCTTACTATTCTTGGAGTGCAAACACGTGATCCCTTGAGATAAAAATAACAATGAAACAGCCGCCATCTTGGTTGATCTAGCACAAGAGAAGCGTAATGAGCAATGCTTTATATAGTCAACCAACATGGCGGCTATGAAGTAACATACACTCCAAGAATAGGAATATGCATGATCCATACAGCTTGTAATATAAATTGAGAGACAGTCCATGAACGATAGGACTGGTTTGTGCAAGGGTATGCGCGTAAGCTAACTCTATTTATCCTGCAATGTTTATTTTCTTTGGTATGTTTATTTATGGGTGTTTATGCTTCGCGTAGTAAATCTACGTTGCAAGATAGCTAGTAATAAAAGTCATCATGAATTGCTACAGACCCAATCTCATAGAAAATAACGCAGACGAAAATGAAAAAAGATTTGATTATTCAACCCAATACGGATTCCCTGAGAATTACTTCACGTGTGGCTGTATATCAATCTCTCGTCTCTCCAAGACGCCACACATATGGCTAGCGGCTAAAGGGTGAACACCCAATTGTCTCTTCTTTACTCACTCGGTCTTTGATCTGATCCTGATTCATTTCTTTCAGAGCTCCTCGAAGTTCTGTTTAAACACCTGTAAAGTACTAAATAGCTCTGAATTTCTCAAAACAGATTTCATTCAGTTTTCAGTTTGAGTGCGCCGAGTTGTAAACATTGCACAAGAGTATTCATGGGACACCAAAGATGCGCTACTATGGTGATACAGAGGTATTCAACTAATTCTGGAACAAATAAACCTATTAGTATTTATGAGTATATTGAGTTTATAAAGCACATCAATCAAAAGAAAATTGTTCAGATATCTTTACATACTCTGATTGACGGCAGTGTATTGCCCAATTTCCCTGTTGCAAGTACTGTTGTCTTAATTAGCGGCATGGTAATGAAAACAGTGATAAGCAGCACACTGATGCATCATACAGCCGTACATAGTCGTTTTGAGGTGAATTTTCTAGATCACGATGGGGAAATATTGTACACATTTTCGACCGGAAGCTTTATTTTTTTCCCTGATGAAATTTATATAAAGAGCTAAAATTCAATGAATAAATCTTTCCCAAAAAAGCTGGCAGCATTCGATGAGAATGACGTCACAGTGTGCATGCAACAAATCAAGTATTTACCTCTAGAGAGTTTGACATGAGATTTATCATTTTCATACATTTTTTCTTTATTGATTAGCATCTAAATTTAGTGATCATGTAGGTGAAGTGCGATTCAGATAGTGAACCAGAACAAGCAAACAATGGTTTGAACTACACTAGAGGGAGAGAACGCCAGCTCCAAGAGCCCAGATAGCCCAGATACTGATCAACGAGAGATGAATTATGCTGACTCTCAAAGCCGTCGACGAACTGTTTACATCACAAGCCGAAGGTGGCGGTTGATATGACTTGTTGAACGTAACCTTATTCCTAAGGTTCTTTGGGTCAATTTGTTCCTGGAAGGAAAACAAGATATTCAAATTAGGCCAAAAACATCCGTACGTTTCTTCACCCAGGTGTATAAATGGTGCCAGCTAATGTTGGGGGTACGGCACCAAGTAAAAGACATTTCGTTCGGGTGACTAGGGGGGAAAATGTTCGTAGCCGCTTTATGCTACAAAGATAGTAGCACAGTAGTGCTAAAGACTCCCATCCTCACCCCAAGTGGTTTCCCCATATTTCGTTTAGGATAGATACCTCGCAAGTTTTGAAACATTTCGGATTGAAATCTTCCCCCCTCTCCATTCCCAGGCCTGTACTGCAGTATGCTGAATGGAGTTTGTTCCGATTTGTGACTTACTTCAAAGTTGCTACGGTTTCCTTTGTTTGAGCAGTCTGATATCAAGTTTTCTTTATCGAGGAAATTTCTCAAATCGTTTGTCAGTTCGTCGGTCCAGCTGGGTTTAGCTGCGACAAGTGGGTTGTACCACCTCTTGGAATAAGCTTTGTAAGACCTGAATTTAAACAAAACACATTAGATAAAATTCAGTAGTGAATGAATATTTAAAAAGTGCAAGAAAGACGGAGGAAAGTTGGAGGAATGAAAGAGGAGAGGATGGGAAGAGGAAAAGAAAGAGGGAGAGAGGAACGACGGAAGGAAGATGGATCAACGAGTCGATGTGTGAAAGAAGGGACGATCTGGATGAAAGGAAAGCAACAAACGCCTAATGTAGACATTTTTGTAAGCACTAAAACCATATAAATTTTATTTTTCATCTACATACTCTAAATAAAGTGCTACACAGTTTATCCTTAACTGGAAATTCATAATATATAAACGCCTAAGGAATAACCGACTTACGGGAAGTGTTTTAAGAGAAACTTGTAGACTGCTGGCCTGTTGCTACTGAAGCAGCTCTTACGTAGTCCTCCTAATCGTGGATAATATGTCATGTAGTTTATGCACATTTCCTCTGATGTACTAAGTCCTCCCTGCAAAACATATCAGGATGAATGTTGAAATAAGGAAGCTGGGCTCCCTGCATACACTGCGCATGCTCGAGAAGACTGGAAATGGGAAGATTCTCTTTTTTCCTTCCTTAGACACCCGACAGTTTTACTCCAGACAAGGTTTTGGCGGGATTTTTTGCGCCAAAACGCGCGTGCGCTTTTCTCGGTCCCCCAGCTCTAATACACATGCTACACCATTGATTATTTAGGAGGACAAATAGATAGGGCCATTGTTATCGTTTAGACTCACGAATGTTGTATTGGTACGATCTTTGGTATTGTACTTGCACTGTTGAATCATCTCGTCACCCTGGTATGGAAATAAAAATAACATCAAATCACGTGATCGAGGCATCAAAATAGTGGCAATTAACTAGTGAAGCAACCTACGGGTTTAAAGTGAACCTCTTTAGCATGAACTTGAATCTCCTGAGAAATACGAAAAAAGTAATACAGAAAATGATGAAAAATCAAGAACCTAGTACACGTAAGAGCTGCTGTTGGCGAGGTTATGCTTTTACAAAAATCTTTAACAAACAAAAAACATCATAAAAATAAACATGTATAGTAAAACTGTACCTGAAAGTTAAAATCATAGTTGTTATCCCTTGCAATATCTGGAAGCTGAACACCGTCCCTGATATGTTGGGTCCAGACCGCACGACCTGCGCATGCGTCGAAAAGAACGCCACAGAACAAATAAAAAAAATTGTTTAATTAAAAAGTTTAGTCGGGGCTCTCATTTAGTTTGCGCATTTTGAATGTTTTAAAAGCATCATGGCATATTATGGGATGGATTATTTTGTTAGAAAAAAGCAAAGGGTATTCCATGTGGACTTTATCAACTCCATAAGTCCTCCTAGAATCATTCTCTAATAAATTTAGCTCTTACCTGCTAAGTGTGTGTGTAAAAAAGAAGAAATGATTTTGATTCCTTTGTCCTGAAGTGGACTGCTTTCAAGGGCCTTTAGGATAGAAGGTTAGTAAATAGAAATTAAATTAATATACAGTTTTATCCACTTTCTCTTCCCCTCGCAAAATCCTACCCTCGCAAAAATAGTTAATGCCGGCAGTTTTTTCGAAGATATTATGGTCATTCCTCCCTGTTCCCTCAACTCCTCTCCCCCTACAACGACAATCTACCTTTTGGGTGCATTCTTTTCTACAGTATCCTGTAGTGATCCAGTGATCCTTCACTCCCCTCCCCTCCCCCTACAACGACAATCTACCTTTTGGGTGCATTCTTTTCTACAGTATCCTGTAGTGATCCAGTGACCCGTCACTCACCTCCTCTCCCCCTACAACGACAATCTACCTTTTGGGTGCATTCCTTTCTACAGTATCCTGTAGTGATCCAGTCGTCTTGGTTGGGTGGTATGACCATCCACGAGGAAACGCCAACCCCTATACTCAGAGTACCAGCATCGTATGTACGTAGATCAGACGTGTAGTAGAGCCTTACTCCAGAGCTGTCGAGCCGTCCTTCAACCAAATATTTATAAATCTACGTATCTTTTTAAATTGTAGAAAGAAACTCTTCCAAGCAGGATACCAAATATTGATAAGGATGCAAAAGAGAGAATGAGGGCGTAAACAAGGTCACATCAAATCGTCTTTCACTACCCCCCACTACCTCCATAACTATAACCACCTCTCATGATTGTAGACTGACCATCCTCAGTGATCACACCTCATTACTAACCACCTCTCATGATTGTGAACTGACCAACCTCAGTGTCTACACCTCATTACTAACCACCTCTCATGATTGTATACTGACCACCCTCAGTGTCTACACCTCATTACTAACCACCTCTCATGATTGTAGACTGAACACCCTCAGTGTCTACACCTCATTACTAACCACCTCTCATGATTGTAAACTGACCACCCTCAGTGTCTACACCTCATTACTAACCACCT